TGTTCTAGCTTCCCCTCCTCCCACTGTGTCCTCAAGTCCTTGTACAAAGCCTTTTGAGTCTGGCTTCTTCCAGTTAGCATAAGACATTGGAGATTCATCATTGTCCTTGCGTATTTTAGCTCTTTGCTTTTTTAAAATTGCTGAGTGGTAATCCATTGTGTGAAGGTACCACAATGTGTTTATCCATTGATAAGTTGAGGGGCACTTGAGTGGTTTCCAGTTTGGGGCAATTATAAAGCTGCTCTCAACATTTATGTATAAGTTTTGTGTGAACATAAGTTTTTATTTCTCTTGGGCAGATACCTGGGAGAGAGACTGCTGAGCTGTACGTTGTGTATGTTTAACTTTATTAAGAAACTACCAACTGTTTTTTCAAAGTGGATGTACCGTTTCATATTCTCACCAATAGTGTATGAAAGCCCAATTTGCTCCACATCCTTTCAAGTCCTTGGCACTGTCAGGGTTTTTGTGGTTTTTTGTTGTTTTAGCTATTCTAATAATTGTGTAGTGATATCTTGTGGTTTAATATGCATTTCTCTAATGACTAATAATCTTGAGCATCTTTTCCTTTGCTTACTATTTGTAATGAAATAAAATTCATATTTTAAGGCAAGACAAGAAGATTTAAACATAAATTTTTTTCTGCCCATTTGGGCCTCCTCTCTCCCCTGTAGTGTGCATTGTGTATCTGCATTATGCATTAACCAGACCTCCCCAGCAGCAGAAATACCTGCTCAACCATAAAGCTCAATTTTTCTTCTTCTGATGCCAGTTATATAACTCCTTAGAAAACATTCCTTTCTCAATCTTGTCAGGGGTCATGATGCAGATATCTTTGGTGAACTTTGTGTGCAATGCCAGTATAACATTTCCCTTAAAGATAGCGATTGGTGCAGAACACACTGGGTCAGATGATCTGGGGAGATACTGGGCCACACCTAATGGAAGTTCTTAGCTTAAATACCTACTTAGGACCTTATTAATGTTACTTGTATTCTGTCTATTTTGCAAGATTATAGTTTCTTGTATTACTGAATATGTGACTGAGCCTCTGATGAAAATGACTAGGCTACTTGAAACAATTGATCAAATATACAGTTCTATAACACTGAAGATTTTTTTCTTTTTTTGGCCACACCGCGTGGCTTGCAGGATCTTAGTTCCCTAACCAGGGACTGAATCCAGGCCCTTGGCAGTGAAAGCTCAGAGTCCCAACCACCGGACCACTAGGGAAGTTCCAAGATTGATGATATTAATAGTGTAACTCTAGATACGGGAAGAAGCAGTAAGAGAGAAGCATTTCCTGGACCATAAAAGACTAGAAAGACAGGCAAGGTGGTCCAGAGGCTTTTGGCTACTGTTAACAGTCCAATGATAGCACATTGCGTGGCCTATCAGTGAAATCCTTGCTTGACCTGGGTATGAGCATTCCTAGAGCCGTGGGACAAACTGGTCATGAAATGCTTCCTAACCCTTGGTAGAAATTAAGATGGAAAAGGAGGAGATTGTAAAACAAAGAATGTTGCTCACCATCCAATTCTACAAGAATTGAGTCATTAGTCACTACAGTCACTGATTTACAACACACCCTGAAAGAAATTAAGACCAATATCAGGATGAGGCATTTTGTGCTCTGGGAAAACTGGCAGAACTAGCTCTCAGATATTGTCGGGAGAAAATTTTATGAACTCAGTTTCTTGCATCTTCCCATACTTAGAAAAGCACTACAACCATTAACTAAGATATCTGCTCCTCGTGAATAGCAGTAACCTTCTACCAAGATGTATGCTTGACTGTACCTACCCGTTAGTCAAAATCACTACATACTAGCCTCCCCCTTTCCTCTTTGGAACATCCTCAGAGCTTTCTGAAAGACTGTCTCCCTGATTATAATCCTCAGGCTGGCCCGAATAAACTATGCATTTCTTAGATTGACTATTGATTAAATTTTTTTGTTGACATTTGCTATATCTTCCCTTGTGAAGTATCTGTTTTAAGTTTTTTGTCTACTTTCTTGTCTTTAATTTTTTTGAAACAATTTTTGACTGGGCCGTGTGGCATGCAGGATCTTAGTTCCTGAACCAGGGATGGAACCCATACTGCCTGCAGTGGAAGCCTGGAGTCTTAACCACTGGACCACCAGGGAAGTTCCTTTTTCTACTTTCTAATTGGATGGTTTTTTTTTACTGAGTTTTGAGCGTTTGTTATGTATTTTGGATAGAAGGCTTTTTATCAGATGTGTTTTGTGAATTTATTTTTCTAGACTCTGGATTATCTTTTCATGTTCTTAGTGTATTGAAGAGCAGTTTTAAATTTTGATGAGGTGCAATTTATCAAAAAACATTTTTTAAGAGGATGATACTTTTGGTATATCTAAGAACTCTTGTTTAACCCAGTCAGAAAGTTTTCCCCATAAGTTTTCTTCTGGAAAAGTTATATTCGGTTGGCCAAAAAGTTCATTCCGGTTTTTATGTGCGATATTAACGAACTTTTTGGCCAACCCAATAGTTTTTAGGTTTTACTCTTAGGCAAGGGTGGAGGTTCATTTACTTGCATTTCCAACTGTTCCAAAACCATTTGCTGAAAGATTATTCTTTCTCCACTAAAGGGCTTTACCATCTTTGTTCTAATGACCATGTATATGTGGGTCTATTTCGGGACTCTCTTTGAGGTCCCGTGCCTTTATGTGTCTGTTACTTCGCCAAAACCAATGCAGGGGCGGAGGGCGTCCCGCGGGTGTAGTCCCTCGTCTTCGCCTACCCTTCTGGGCTCAGCTTACTTCGCCTCCCCAGCCCTTGCTGTCACCTATCCCCAACCGTGGCAGCCCAGTAGAGAAGACTCCCAAGTTAGATCACAGCTCATCTGGCCACATGTTGGGCGCGGTCCTCACCCCGGAGCCGCCCCCTCCCTCCACCAGGAGCAACGACAGCTCCAGCGGCCAGAGTTCACGGTTGCCAGGACAACCGCCGGCGCGCGAAGACCCGGGCCAGTTTCCGGCCTGTTGTGAAGAGTGAGACGGCTGCGCACGCGCAGATGGCTGTCGGGCCTGCTCTCGCCGCCCCGCGGTCAGCCCCTGCCTGCGACTCGCAATCTGTGGCCTCAACTGCTTCACGCTGCAGGCGCTTCTTGCGGGTTTCGGACGCGGGCGCGGCCAGCCATTTTACACATGCCAGAGAGAAGTGTGCTGGGCACAGGACCCAGGCTGGAGACCCGGCTTCGTGATATTATGTACATTCTTTCTAGAGGAGTTTAGGAGGAAATGAGAAGTAGTACGTACGGTGCCTCGCACAGCGTCAGGCACTTAGTAGGTCCTTAGGACGTGTCAGCCAGTGCCAAACGTCTGCAAACTGTGTAAAGTGGGCCCGGCCGCCAGGCGGGGCGGGACCCCACGCCCCCTCCCTCAGCGTCGCGGGACGCCCCCTGCCGGCTGCCCTTTCTCTGGTGCGCATGGAGCATGCGCACACAGCCCGGCCGTTTCGCCTCCAGTCCTGTTTGGCCCCGGCTGCGCGCCGTAGAGGGCTCCGTGCATTGCCATAGAAACCCATGAGCGCTGAGGGGCAAGCGGTGGAGACTCGGGGATCCTGAGGACCGGGGCGCCATGTCTTTCCGGGACCTCCGCAGTAAGGCAACCCTGACCCCTGTGACTTGTGGTCCTCCCGAGACTCGGGGCTCCGGCCCGCCGGGTTCCCTGTCTGAGCCCCGCTGAGGCTCTCGCGCTGGAGCCCCCTCCCGGGCCTCTGCGGCTCGGGGGCGCCCCTGTCCCGCCGCCCCCCAGGCTGAGCGCCCCAGCCCTGTCTCATAGCCCTTTCTGCGATGATGGGAGGTTGTGTATGTGTATGCGGCTAGTGCGGCTGAGGAACCGAAGCTTTAATTTTATTTAACTTTAATTGACTTATGGGTTTGTTCGCTACTGTATTGGAAAACGCAGAGACCGTTTTTGAGTTGGGTTAGCTTAGAGCTGCGGGAAACGAACAACAACCGAGGAGGGGACTGGTGAATAATAATTGAGGCTTCCGTTGTTTCGAGTTTTTATGATCTGCCAGGTAGTTACTGTCTTATGTGTGTGTCTATCGTTTCATTCACTCCTCTGAACAACTGTGCACCTGTGTTTAGAGATGAGGAACTGGGCAGAGAGAGGTCAGGTCAGGGGACACAGGTGGTAAGAGCTGGCGCTGAAGTGTGAAATCAGGTTGTCTAACCTCCAAAGCTTGCATCTTTTCTAAAGGGGCTGGTGAGGAGAAGGGAATCCAAGTGCCTTTGCTAGGAGGGTGGGGTAGTGGAAGAATGGGGAAAAGAGAATTAGTTACTACTACTTTGGGGGACACCTGTTACACACCAAACATTTTACATTCAATATCTTATTTTAGTCCTCACTGTAACAGTAAGGTGGTTCGTATAAGTTTCTGGATGAAATACTTTGAGGCAGAGAGGTAAAGTAGTTTGCTTTAGGTCACACAGCTAGAACTGGGTGGAAACGAGGATCAAAAGGTAGGACTGTGAAGGAATCTCTTGCCTTTTATACGCTTTCATTTTCTGAATCTGAAGCAGTTCAGCCAACTGGCTCCACCTGCATAGGTGTAGCAGGTGATTGCCGATTTGGTGTGATCTGAGGGGCCTCTTTAAGGCCAATTTTCTAACAATTGCTGGTGCCTGAAATTTCCCCATTAAAGATTACTCCTTTCAGTTGTGAATTGCTCTCTTTTCTATAATGGAAATACATAGGAAGAGGCATCACATTTTATTGATGCCTATTAGCACTATTGTGTGAATCTGTGCCCTCTGGGAGTTGGAGGTTCTTGGTGACCTTATGTTGTAGAGACAAGTTTCTCCTTCCTCATAGTTGAGGGAGGCCAGCCTTCTGCTAGGGGACGTTGAATGGAGTTGTGTTGGTTAAAGTGTACAAGAAGGGGATTTCTGAGCATTTTGACCTTAAATGAATGCTGTACATTATGCAATTCATGGTAAGATTCTTATTCACATTGTCTCCATTTTAACAGTAATACTGTAGAATTAACAGAACTGCACTGCTACTTAGCGGCAAGAAGTGTTTAGGGCTTACTGTGTGATGGGAAGGCTGCTGCTTTATTTTCCATTGCTCTATTTAAATATCCCCCAAAACAGCAACAGAGGCCCTCTGCTTCTCTTTCCTCTGCTTATACCTTCTCTTCTGTTGTCTTGTGAAATCCAGACTAATCTCCAAGGCCCAAGTAGCTTATTTGTGAATGTCATTGGGACATCTTGAATATCCACCTTCAAGAAGAGTGAAGACAGACATTATTTAGCCAGAAGCACACTGAATACAGGTCTTAGCACATCGTGGGAACTAAAAAGATGTTTTATTTCCAAGTCTTGCTTAAAGCTTAGTGATTGCAGCATCTGGTATCAACACGTATTAGTATTACTGTTTCTTTGTCTCATAATACATCTAAATATTGCTCAATAGTTCAATCATTTTCTTGAAGATTTCTCTAAATACAATGCAACTAATGTTTAAATTTTGTGTTATTAAGGTCCTATATGCTCAGTGGGAAGAAAAAAGTCAACTCAGAAATAACACAAAAAACACAGAAATAACACACAAAACTTCACCCTACCACCATCACACCCCCCCCAAAAAAAACCCACGGTTAACATTTAAACCGTGACCAGGTAATTCTCATTTTGAGTGGTAAAGAGAAAGATATCCAAGAGATAAATGAGGTATCCAAGAGAGAAATTAAATTCACAGCCAATCCCTAAACCCCATTTCAATGTACAGTTTCCTCTTCTCCCATTGAATTTAAATACATGTTTTTCAGGAAGCAGATTAGGTATTTTAACTTTTATCTCTTTTTTTCTTTCCCTCTTAGAGAGTTGATAAATAGTCCATAAAAGTGTCAGTAGGTTGGGAGTAAGAAGAGGAAGCAAAGTGTCTGCATTCATAAGTCGTTGCTGTTTGACGAGGAACTGACTACATTGTGTTTTACCTTGGACAGACTTTACAGAGATGATGAGAGCCTTGGGATACCCTCGACATATTTCTATGGAAAATTTCCGCACACCAAATTTTGGACTTGTATCTGAAGTGCTTCTCTGGCTTGTGAAAAGGTTAGAACTGCACTTTACTGAGGTCTTAAGAATGTATATGAGATGTTGTTCATTAGCTACCTAGAAACAGGATGCTTTTGTGTAGCAAAAGGAAAAGTTCAATAAAATTTGACAGACTTGGTTGTAACCTGTTAAAAATCAGTTGAGTTTGAAGAATGCTGTGGGAGAAGGGAGTGTACCAGGCAGCGGTAAAAGGAGAATGTTTCTCAGTAGGAAGCCGACACAGGGGTGCTGGTCCGCATTCTTCTTCATCCCCTCACCTTCATCAGGGAGTGACAGGACCTCCTCACACATTCTGCTGAGTACCTGGCTTGGAAATAATTTAGATTTCATTTTGTGTGAAAAATCTAATATGATTCAGTGTTGGCAAACTTTTTTACTAAGGAGGTAGTCAATATTTCAGGCATTGCAAGCTACATAAGATCTCTGTCATGTATTCTTCCTTATTTTTTTTATAACCTTTGAAAAATGTAAAAACCCTTTTTAGTTTGCGGGCTGTTCAGGAAGAGGCCAAGGGCTGCCATCTGTTGACCCCAGTGTGTCATCAGTTACTCGGAGAAAGGAACTCCACTGGGTCAAGGGCAGGCAGCCAGAGTAATAGTTCTGATTATTTTAATGGAACTTTACAGTCTGAGATAGATTTAATTTTGTAAGCTGAGACCCGAATTTGATTTTTGAAATTTGTTAAACCTATTTTTAGGTGAAGATTTGTTCTCTTGAATGTTTCGTATTTTGTGTTGCTTCTGAAGCCTTTCTTACTCTTACTGCCTTAGCTGGGGACTCAGAGAGCTTCCTGTTACAGATCCACTGTCCTCTCAGTTGCTTTACCTTCTCTTTTGTGAACTTTATACTTAATTACCTTGTGTCTTCTCTCTCTCTCTCTCTCTCCCTCTCTCTGCAATAGGTATGAACCTCAGACTGACATCCCTTCTGATGTTGAGACTGAACAAGACCGAGTTTTCTTCATTAAGGCAATTGCCCAGTTCATGGTTGGTTCACAGTTTTTTGATGGAGTTGTAAAATTAAATACATTAGAAGGAGATGAAGCCTAGTTAGAGCTGCTTTCAGATTTCTTTTTTAAAAGTATTTTCTCCTTCTCTTTTTTAAAAAATTAATTAATTACTTTTATTTTTGGCTGCGTTGGGTCTTTGTTGCTGCGCAGGCTTTCTCTAGTTGTGGCGAGCGGGGGCTACTGTTTGTTGCAGTGCGCAGGCTTCTCATCGCTGTAGCTTCTCTTGTTGCGGGCTTCAGTAGTTGTGGCACACGGGCTCAGTAGTTGTGGCACACGGGCTTCAGTAGTTGTGGCACACGGGCTTCAGTAGTTGTGGCACACGGGCTCAGTAGTTGTGGCTTGTGGGCTCTAGGGTGCAGGCTCAGTAGTTGTGGTACACGGGCTTAGTTGCTCCGTGGCATGTGGGATCTTCCTGGACCAGGGATCAAACCCATGTCCCCTGCATTGGCGGGCGGATTCTTAACCACTGGGTCACCAGGGAAGTTCCAGATTTCTAAACACACTCCATTACCAGATTTCTGTGGAGCCATTTTACCAACAAAGTTTTCTGGGTTTTTTGTTTTTAATTTATTATTTGTTAAGAAATTTAGAGTCCCATGCCCCAGCGGCCATTGGTCCCTACAGTCAGGCTGTGTTAGCTGGCAGGACCATTTACGTTTCAGGACAGCTAGGCATGGACCCTGCAAATGGACAGCTTGTCCCAGGAGGGGTGGCAGAAGAGTCTAAACAGGTTCTTACAAACATGGGTGAAATTCTGAAAGCAGTAGGCTGTGAGTTCACGAATGTGATAAAAACACCTGTTTTGCTGGCTGACATACTGTCAATGACATCTACAGGCAATATTTCCAGAGTAGTTTTCCTGTGAGAGCTGCTTACCAGGTTGCTGCTTTGCCCAAAGGAGGCCGTGTTGAAATTGAAGCAGTAGCTGTTCCAGGACATCTTGTGACAGCATCACTTTAAGTGGGCCCAGGGTTATTTAGTCTGGAATTTAAAAAATGTTTTAAAATTAACATCTTAATTTTTACAATCTTTGTTGCAAAGTGTAAGGTTGACTGAAATATCTGAAGTTATTATGGAAATACCATATAATAAGGGGAATTGAACATAAATTGAAGATTAATGATGAATCTAGTTATTGACATTACAGATTACGCTTACATAACACTCGTATTACTGGACGTGGGAAAAGATACATGCATAGTTACTCAGATAAATAAAAGTAAAGGGAAGTAACATACAGGAAAGATGAGTTACTATTCCTGAGAAATAATAAAGAGCACACCTAATTAAACCCGATTAGTTTAATGATGTGAAATATTTATTTTTCATGTCAGATATATGATCCTGCTTTTACTTGAGTAAAATTAAAGTATTTAAGTATTCAAACCTAGTAGAGCTAAAGGAGAAGAAACTGGACCAAAATTTTATATAGATAATATTTTTCTAATGGAAATTAAATAGCATGCAGATTTTAAAAAAGAATTTTATTTACTTATTTTTGAATAGGTAATATATTTTATGGTTCAAAAATTTTTTTAAATCATGAAACAATATAGAGTAAAATGACTTTCTGTTCTGTTTGCCATCAGCCCAGTTCCATTCCCAGTGATCACTATTCTTAATATCTTTCAGAGTTTCTTTAGGCATAATTAAGCAAATAGACTGTATATTCCTTTTCCTTCCTCTTACACAAATGGTGGCATACTGCACACCACCGTTTAGAATCTTGTCTTCATATAACAGTACATTTTGGAGAACTTTTCAAGTACACATAGAGTTTCTTTATCCTCTCTTACACCTGAGTAGTATTGCTTGCAAGTTTATACTGTAACTTATGTAATTTATACAGGTAGGCATTTAGGTTGTTGGTAACTTTTGTTCTTAGAAGCAATGCTGTAACAAATAACCTATACACATCATTTTGTTTGTGAATATGTATATCCCTAGCATAAGTTCTTAGGATTGGAATTGCTGGGCCAAAGGACATATGCATTTGTAATTAATTTTGTTGTCATTTACCAAATTGCTCTCCATCAAGATTGTATCAGTCAACATACCCACTTGCGATATATGAGTAACTTGAAAGTTTGATTCTTAAAATGATTTGGTTATATCCCTATTGTTGGCAGTGACATTTTCAAATGACCTACATGGAATTTGGTTTAGATTTTACGTGGAATGGGTCTTAAACTTTTTTTTTTAATCTGAAAATAGGCCACTAAGGCACATATAAAACTCAATACTAAGAAGCTTTATCAAGCAGACGGGTATGCAGTGAAAGAACTATTGAAGATCACCTCTGTCCTTTATAATGCTATGAAGACCAAAGGTATGGAGGACTCTAAAATAGGAGAGGAAGATATCAGCAAATTCAAGTTTGACCTTAGCTCAAAGGTAAGGACAATGCAAGGCTTGTAGTGAGGGATGGAATGTTTATTTCTCAAACACTGGAATGGGCTATATCAATACAGCATCACTTCTTTCCTTACTCCTTGACTGAGGGCCATTTGTTAGTTTTGTGCTCATCAGCATTTGGATCAAAGCAGAAGGGACAATAAATTCAACTTTTTATTGAAAGCCTGCTGCTATCTGCCAGGCACTCTTCAAGCACTGGGGATACAGGCGTGAACAACGAGGACAGGAATCCTCTGTTCCCGCGGCTCAGTTGGGGGAGCCAGACTGTAAACCGCAAAGCAGAAGGAGTAACAGGTCAGATGGGCTGCATGTGTGGAGGATAGTAAAGCAGGGAAGGGGCTGGGGTGCCGGGGGAGGTGTCTTAAATAGAGGGCTAGGACAGCCTCAGGGATTGGGTGACGGTTTCAGCAGAGATCTGAAGGAGGGAAGGAGCAAACCATTCAGTGGAAAGGTGTGCTGTGTGTGTTTGAGGAAACACAAGGGGGCCATGTGATGAGAGCTGGGAGGGGAGGCAGCCTCAGGCCTGTGGTCCCTGGAAAGCCACTGTCAAGACTTTGACTCTGAGGTGGAAAATCGTTGAGTTTTGAACAAAGAAGTACATAATTTGAAACTTCATATTAAAAGGATCACTCTGAAAAAAAAAAAAAAAAAAAAGGATCACTCTGGCTGCTGGATTGAGTCGGACTGAAGGGGGAAAAAAGGTGGAAGCCCAGAGACCTGTTAGAAAGCAGGAGGTGACAGCGCCTTTGAGCAGAGTGGCCGTCAGGTGCTCAGCTGAGCTTGGGGAGAGAGTGAGCTGCCAGGCGTCGGAGGACTCGATTAAAGCAACAAGCCAAACATGAAAGCTGTGTCTTTAATCACTAACTGCAGTGGTATAAGCAAGGGACTAAAGCCAGAGAAGTGTCAACTCCCTGTTTCATAAGACTGCTTTGGAAGTTTTAATGCCCCCTGAGGTGTGGGAGAAGGTGTTTGCCCCACCTTCCCCAATAAGAAAGCCTCAGCAGAGGCACTGAAGAGGACCTGGACCCAAGGCCTCAGATAAAGAGACCTAGGAATGCAGGTCTTTATGAGAACATGACTGGCCAGAGGGCCTGGTTCCTTGACTGCAACTCTCTTCAGAGACTGCAGGGCACTGGTGTTCGAGCACAGCTTTCCCCAGGAGGCCTGCCAGGTAAAGCCTCCAGGATTGCCTGTGGTCAGGCCTGAAAAACCACACACAGGAGCCAGATCCTCACTGGGAGGAAGTGGTCAGAGGTTAGAGCATATTTTGAAGGTAGGTCTTATGGATTGGGTGTAGGTTGGAAGAAAGCAGACAGCACAAGGAAGGTCCTGAAGCAGCTCTGTCTGGTAGCGCTTCCGTGCTGGTGGATGTGTTCTGTGTCTCTGCCATGCGACACGGTAGTCGCTAGGCACGTGTTGCCAGCATAACCAAGGAACTGAGTTTTAAGTTTTATTAAATTTTGAATGGTTTAACATTGAAAATGGCCACATGGGACTAGTGGGCACGATATTAGATATCATGGCTCTAAAGTTTTGGGTGTGAGTTCCTGCAAGGACAAAGTTGCCGTCTACTGAAGTGGAGAAGAGTTTGGAAGGAGCAGGTCTGGCAGGAAAGATGAGTTTGGTTTGGGACATGTTATGTTTGCGATGTCCACGAGGTGTCCAAGTGGAGATGTCAAACCTCAGCTCATGGCTTTAATCTTGGTATCAGAGCTGAGAGCTTGCGGGGAGTGTGTGTGGAAGGGAGGTCCAGGGTTGGGGGTGGTGTGCGGCTGGCCTCTGCTGAACTTCAGTGCTGAGAAGTGGGGCGGATGAGAGGACTCCCAGAGAGGAAGCTGGGAACTCGCTGCTGGTGAGGAAGCAGCTATTCGAGAGGAGTCCTGAGGACTGAGGAAATGGGAAGGAAGTCGCCAGCTGTGAACCAAGAGTGAGAGTTGTCAGTGGTTTGAAAATGAAAGAGGGTGGGAATTCGTTGTTTTGGGGAGAGGGAGAGGGAGCTGAGCTGGGAAATGTTTGGGCTCTTTGGAAGTTTAGTGTATTCATGGAAGAGGGTGTGACGTGTAGATCCTAAGGAAGAAGCTGTGCCCAGGGCCAGATCATCATCATCTTCACAGCAGTGCCTTGTGGGAGCTTGTAAGGCCTTCATGCCGGTGAGCTCATTTGAGCTCACAGCAGCCCGGTGAAGTGCAGCCTGAAGGCAGAGAATGAGGGGACAGGGAGGGTTAAACATAGGGCATCAGGGTTCTGTGGTAGGCATGTGTCCCTCAGGTTGCCCCTCCTTTGCTCACCCCACCACTGCCAGGGTCCCTTATTATAGGAAGCGTGTCAACGTTCGCAACCCCCACACCTCCTTGTTGCAGAGTACATTTGACCTGACATTTGGGTTTTTCAGGTGGCCTGGTATTGGTCTAATTTGTACTTAGATCAGTGTTTCCTAAACTGATGTTTTGGGAACTCTCTTCTCCAGGATGTAAATATGTGTCTTGTGGAAAATGTGTTCTATAGTCAAGTAAGTCAAGTATCCTGACTGGAGGTGGGAACCTATATGAACAGATTGATTCTTTCTGAATGCCTAATAAAAACCTGTCACTGAAGTTTCTGTTTTTGATATTTTCCTTCCAGATTGCAGATTTGAAAGCAGCCAGGCAGCTTGCTTCTGAAATCACTTCCAAGGGAGCATCTCTGTATGACTTGCTGGGCAAGGAGGTGGAGTTGAGGGTAAGCAGTGTTCAGATAACTCAGTTACCTCCTTAGCTAAGCAGATTTCCAAGGTTTCTTTTCAAATTCTGTTTTTCCCTGTTCTTTTGATTTCATTAAACGGTACCTGATTAAATGAGCTACTGTGTGGGAAAGTAATATACGTATGGTGTTTGCTGCTGTTTGTGCTTCTGGGGGGCTCTGGTCTGTTTCTAATACCTTTGACATCTAGTTCAGGAATGGCAAATATGTGCCTGTTGCTGAAACTTTCCTCCTTGTGCCCGTGGCAGACTTTATTGATCATGATGCTTTCCCCCGGTACACTCAGCCTTGGCATTCTTCCCAACAAAATGCTCTTCTGAGCCTGTGGTTCCCAAATCTTGTTGCCCAGTGGAATCACCTGGGGATCTTTACAAACTACTGATGTCTGGCTTCCATGCTGACGTCATTGGTATGAAATGTGACTTGGGCACTGGGAGTTTTAAGTCTCCTGGGTGGCTCTAACGTACAGCAGAGTTTGGGAACCAGTCATTAATCTAGGTAGTCACTACCAATCATTTGAAGTTGATGTTACAGTTGAAACTTATTTGCAGTCCTTATTCTAGCCCATGCCAGTCAAGGAGGATGCTCTGTCCACTGTGTTTAAGGAGCTGTTGAAGAGTGGGTTCGTAAAACACCCTTGGAGCTCCTATAGAGCTTTTTAAATCACCCAGCATCCAGGTCATCCCCCATACCAGTGGATCAAAATGTTTGGGGGTGAGAGCCAGATTTTTAAAGATCTCCAGGTGATTCCAATGAGCAGCAGAGTTTTGGACCTACTGGTTGGAGAAGAAATGGAGTGCTGTTTAATTCTTACCTGGGAGGATTTATGGCATTTGAAGCATACATGCTCATATCTAATGTTTTTGAATTAAATGCACTTAGTTCATTCCATTCCCATCAGGTGTATCATCCGTGACTGCTCTCTCACTGCCTTGCCTGTGTTCTGGCATTGCTGCTACAGTGTAATGGCATTTTTCACTTCTGCCCTAGGAACAGACTGGAAGCGGGGGACTTGGTGCTAGCTCACCATCCCTGCTCTTGATATATTGCCACCTGGTGAAGTGTAGTTGGCAGAACAAACCTGACATAATGTCTGACAGCTAATTTAGATAAGCAGTGAGGCAGCTCCCGGCTTTCCATGTTTTCTGTTTATAGTGCAATAGTGCACATATCTACACGTGTTCCTCACAGTCCCAGAGACAGGAGCTGGTCACTTGCTATTTGCCAGCAGAGCCCTGGCTTCATTGTGAGGCTCAGCAGGATTCTCCTGGGGGCTCTTTTAGTACTGTCCTGTAATGAATTGATGGAGCAATCAGAGGCCGAACTGTTGCCATGGAAGCCAGGAGACCCTGAATGTAGGACTTCTCAAATTCTGTGTACAGTCATGGTCTGAGGAAGATCCCCTATCCAATATATGTTTTTCATACACTCAACAAAATAATTCATTGAGGACCAACACCAACCACAGGCAAGGAAGGCACTGTGCTCTGTGTCCTTGAGTAAGTCACGGTCCCTGCCCTCAGTAGTTTTCTACTGTGGGGGAGGTAATGTACACTGTGGAATAAAGGAAGCACAAGACAGGATTTGATAAAGTGCTCCAGGAACCCCATAACTGCATCTGCAATGAAGTCCCATGTTTCGGAAATTTCCAATACTGATATGATAGGCACAGATGCCTCCCTTGATGGTTAGTGGTTAGTGCTAGGGGCAGGACCGAGCTGATTCTTCTCGTTAGTTACAGTTGTCAGTAATGGGCAACTTAGAGGGACGTGATCACAAAGAAGATTGTACAGGCTGGCAGTGGGTTCAGACGGCAAGTTGAGCTGCACTTGGTTTGGGGTCACCTGAATGGAATGCAAGTAAAAGAAGCAAATTTTGGAGAAAAGATTCTGGATGGTGAGTTCAGGTTCCTATGGTGTTAGGGTACAGGGGGCCTGTGGCTGGAGAAGGGGACCTTGAGCACTGGAGAGAGGCCAGGCTGGCCGGAGGATTACAGAAGACACTTGGAGGAGGTGATGGCGGGAGTGCTTTTGCATCAGAGACCCACACAGTAATGAAGCTTTTGAGAACCAGTCCATAAGCCATATCTAGACAGGGGAATTGGTCTTGAGAATTCGTCTTCTGAAAAAATAATTTCGCTTCATTGTTTCCAATAGGAACTGAGAACAGAAGCAATTGCCAGACCTCTGGAAATAAATGAGACTGAAAAAGTGATGAGAATTGCAATAAAAGATATTTTGGTAAGATACTTTGCTTTTATTTAATGTTTTTATGCCTGGGACTGGAAAATAGTTCCTGGCTCTACAGGACAGAACAAGCCAGGCCTCATAACAAAGAAGGGACAGGTTAGTGGGGAGGTGAAAAATTTAGAGCACATTCTAGAATAGTTGGTGACTTACTGTTATTTTTCCCCTCATTACAAATATGAACCATTTCTCCTGTTGCTAAAGTTTTGCTAGTTTTATTAATTTAATAATTCGCTTAAATTCTGCAGTAATTTTAGTAAATACTTTATGGACTCTTCATACTTGATTTAACCAGTTCCTCACTGCTGGGCGTTTAAATGATTTCCAGATTTTCTTAACTTTAAACAGCACTGTATAAATAGAACGATCATCATCCTTTACTACTTACCCATGATCAGTTGTTATTTGCTTATCTCACCTATATCACTCATTTGGAAAGCAGAAAGTGAGGGGGACTCAGACTACTTGGGTTTGAATCCCTCTGTGTGATTTTAGGCAAGTTACTTAACTTCTTTGTGCCTCACTTTCCGCATCTATAAAATGGGAGGAATGGCAATGCCCACCACACAGGGTCCTTGTGAGCATTCATTATGACAGTGCGTGGCACATAGTAGGTATTCAGTCGTTATTAGAGATTCATTTTATTCAGTAGACACAGACAGGGGGGCCTTACGTAAATTAAGAATAGTTATAAAACAAGAATTTGCTGTGAGTTGTACAAAACTCTTAAGATTGGTTTTTATAGTACTCTTATCATAAAACAGTAATACTCCCTGCGCAGCCCAGCACAGAGAGTCAGAGCCTCAGCAGGGTGAGATGTGCAGGGTAGCCAAGATGGGAGATGGTTACATACAGGCAGGTTGATCAAATAAGTAAATATATTAAAGATAATGGAAGCCAAGGTTCTCACTGTTGGAGAATGGAGTTACAGATATGAAAAGGGAGAAAATTAGATTGAACCCTGAAATAGGAGATGTTGGTTAAATGCATGCATTTCAATATGTAGATAGATATAGGAATAAATTTTGTTGTGTGTATGTACGTGTAGCATATTTATGTACATACACATGCACACCCACATACACATTCATACACTCCTTAGCTCTGAGCATACCTAGCACCCAGATCTTGGCTTCTAAATGCCATTCTCCACTAAAATGAAGCAGGGCTCTTCAGGAGAGATGGCTGATTCCAAAGCTAGGATAAGAAAGTACAAGATCTTCTTATGCCAGAAAGCAAGGAAGTGCTCAAAGAGTGTCAGAAGGACACAGAAGCCAGCTTCCCCTGGCCACACCAGGGACAGGATAAGCATCAAAATGAATGAATTATAGTAATGGATTATAGACCATTGAATGAAATGGGAGATCTTGAGTTCTCACTGATAAATGAATACATTGAAAACTGATGAAGAGCAGGTTTTTCACATAGTTTCAAAGTAGCTCCCTACAAAATACTTATTAATTACAGAGAGGAAAAGAGTAATGTCATAGGAGAAGCCTGACAGAGACCCTCTTAATCCAGTGATCAAAGGAATATCACCAGTGATGGAGCAAACCAGAATTATGCCCACCTGATGGGATGCAGGGTTCAGTGATATCTGTGCTATTCCTGCTAGGGGTGTGTATAATCAGACAAAGGCAAATTGAGGGGCATTCTGTAAATTCCCTGGCCCCTAGTCTTCAACAGTGAAAAGTTCATGTTCCTGTCATGAACATCCAGGAGAGGTTGAGGAGCCATTCCAGACTGAAGGAGGCTAAGGAGACCTGATGACTGAATGCCAGCGGTCACTCCCATCTGCTGTTAAGAACTTCATGGGGACAGTGGGTCTGAGGGTTGGGTGGGGGTGGTGCGTCAAGAGTTCATTTCCTATCTTGATGATTGTGTTGTGGTTATTTAGGAGAAAGGCCTTATTTGCAGGAAATACACATTAAAATATTTAGAAGTGATGGAGCATCAGGTCAGCAGCTCATTCTCACCTAGGTTAGGAAAAAATGTTTTGTATTATACTTCAGCTGTTTGTAAGTTCCTGATTGTTTCTAAATTAAAAAAAAAAACTAATGATAATACTTGTGTGCTTGTCAGTGTTCTGGCTGAATCAGGTTAGCATGGCATGAATGTGCCTTTAGCACTAAGTCAGTATTAAAAATGGAACAACCAAATGAGGGCACAGTTCATTTCTTGGTGAACACCTCTTAAGATATCTTTTCGTTGCTGGAAAATATACATGATATTTGATAATTCTAAAAACAAAAGCGAAACAACAACATGGATACTTAAAAAGGGTTATGAAATATAGGCCATTTATTTCAGAAAGCTAGAGAAAATTTTTTGTGTTTGTTACATTTGTCTTTTTTGAGGAACAGAACCTTTTTAAAAATCTTTATTTTTGAGGTCAGATAGATTCACTAGGTTTTAATCTGACTTTGATTCAGAGAAATAGTTGCCATCAACCTGAGTTGTCTGTTCAGAAAGGAGACCCACCTTGTCTTCCTCTGAGAGTGAACTCACATCTCTGCTGTGGTTTTTAAAGTACTTGCAGCAAATCAGTGGTTAGTGATATGATTAATCTTCATGAAAGCATCTTCGAAATGGTTAGTGTACTTAGACAAAAAAAATTAAGCCATAAAGTGTTGATAAAAGTGACTGCTTCCAAATATGCACTGTCTCTGAGATTCGTGGAGTGTGTCTGGGCTCCTTAGCTGATTTCTTTGTGGACCGCATAGTGTTTCAGAGGCCTGCAGGTAAACAGTCAGTAAACCTTCATGGGGCTACACACTTGTAAAGTCCTGGAGGGGAGGACCCCACCTTGGCCATCTGGAACTTAACAGCAGAGTTGGATAGTCCCAGCCTGGGGGCGCGGGGAGCAGTTCTACACTTGGCTGGTTGAGTTGCAGATGTCATTCCTAGGGCAGCAGATTGCAGCTCTGAGCCACAGGCCTTGACCTGGCCCGCTTCCCAGACAACACGAGTGTGAAGACAGTGCATTTACTCAGACTAGCCCTGCCTCAGATGAACTTGCTCTTATGGGAGGATGGGGAGGCCTGTGGTTTTCGCCAGAGATCTCTCTTTCCCTTCACGCTGCCCTCTTGCTCAGGGGCCTGTGCCACACTGCTGCCCAGGCTCCCTTCCCAAGGCTGGGTCACACCGGAGCCACCCAGGGAGCCACTTTCTGCTAATGGAGTGGTTTCTCTGTTTAGTTCAGTCTGCGGTTCAGCTGCCTGGGAAGGGGAGAGGAACCTTCTCTCAGTCCCAGCAGGCAGCGCATTAGAGCTGGGACCAGGCGGCATTTCTTTTTGTTCCCTTCTAAGTAAAGCTAAGATAGAGCTTGTGTGTGCATGTATTCTATAAGTCAGTTATTTGTAGCTGGGGGGTAGCCTGAACTATGTAAATGAAGGCAAACCAACCCTTCAGAGTGAGGTGTAACCATCTAAACAAGTGAGGTGGCAGGAGGTTTTGGGTCCCTCTTTGGAAACACCTTCTCATGGAAAAAAAAAGTAGATGATTCTTTCTAGGCCTATGTGATGTTCCTCCTGGAAATAGTTGGTTAAACGAGTGATGGCTTGGGGGAGGGTTTGCTCTGTTTGCTTCCCCTTGATTCTGTTTAGTGAGGTGTTGCTGGGCTTGAGAGGTTGAGAAGTCCTGCTCTTCCAAGAGTCAGGTCGTGGTCCTTATTGGCACATTTGTCTCCTTCATTTCCTGTTAAATGTAGGTGCAGGTTCAGGAGACGAAAGACCTGCTCAATAATGTAGCCTCTGATGAAGCTAACCTAGAAGCCAAAATTGACAAGAGGAAATTAGAGCTGGAAAGAAATCGGAAGCGACTCCAGACTCTGCAGAGTGTCAGGTAGATATGAACACCTGAAGAGTGAGTAGGACGCTGTCTCTGCAAGTTAAAGCAGACTGAGGGAATATATCGTCAGTGGTATTAACCTTTCAAGCAGTGGGAAAAGCCCGGCATAAAGATGTCTCTGCTGCAGAATGTATGTGTGTTTTTAACAGGCACACTGCTAAACTCATCCTCTTTACTGCTTTCAATATGTCTGGAAAACTGCTTAGTTGTTGAACCTCCCTTCTAGCTTTTATAGCTTCTTGGAACGCAAGGCAAAGTAAGTAAATCCAGATGGCGAAAGTTATACAAGGCCTGGCTCCTCAGACCTGTGACTTGCCATAAATTAGGTGGAAACAGAAACATACTCCCATTTCTTGGTTTGAGTAGATTTTACAGTTTATAATTCCTCACTGGTAATTCATCCTTCCTCTGACTTTCCCTTTCAAGTGTGTGCCTCACATTTTCTTGGAGCCCACACTTGCCCCCACAGCACCTCTTTCTTGTGCCTTCCCTTTTTCTCTCACTTTGTACCCTCCTTCCTTTGCTTTGTTTCTGTGTTGCCCTTCCTCCCTTTTCATTCTCCTGTTATTTTTCTCTCTTTACTCCTTCCTTTCTCCAGCTGCTGTATTCGCTCTGAATGTGTCTTGCTTTTTGGGGACACGTGCCTGGCCCACACTCTGGCTCCTGTCCTGAGATCTGCAGGAAGGCAGCACCTGGGGGCAGCAGACAGTAACCGAGGGAGCATCAAGGCTTTCTCTTTGCCAAGGGCAAGCCCACACCCCTTCTGCCTCTGGATCAGGGCCACCAGATAGATTTATCTCATTAAAAACTTCTGCCTTTCAAGCATAAATTCATTTTTGTTAAGCCTCAGATCTTTTGTTTTTTTAATTTATTTTTATTTTTTTTAATACAGCAGGTTTGATTAGTCATCAGTTTTATACACATCAGTGTATACATGTCAATCCCAATCGCCCAATTCATCACACCACCATCCCCACCCCCCCGCGGCTTTAACCCCTTGGTGTCCATACGTTTGTCCTCTACATCTGTGTCTCAACTTCTGCCCTGCAAACCGGTTCATCTGTACCATTTTTCTAGATTCCACGTACATGCGTTAATATACGATATTTGTTTTTCTCTTTCTGACTTACTTCACTCTGTATGACAGTCTCTAGATCCATCCACATCTCAACAAATGACTGAATTTTGTTCCTTTTTATGGCTGAATTCCATTGTTTATATGTACCACAACTTCTTTATCCATTCATCTCTTGATGGGCATTTAGGTTGCTTCCATGACCTGGCTATTGTAAATAGTGCTGCAATGAACATTGGGGTGCATTTGTCTTTTTGAATTATGGTTTCTCTGGGAATATGCCCAGTAGTGGGAGTGCTGGATCATATGGTAATTCTATTTTT